TTTTGTAATTTGAGTTTTAAGAAACAACTATGTAATTTACATCATTTATGTAATTTATTCGGTTGAGAGAATTATCACTTCCGGTACTTGAATATTTGATTTGATTGATTCACCTTGCATTGAGATAAACGTTTTTGAAGTTTAAATACAACTTTTCTACCGCATTTCATTTTAAAAAGAAATATCAAACTAAAATGATCTCTAATGGACTATTCATTCAAAATTATACTTGTATATGTTGAAATATGAACCACTGATACCATACAAACATATTACATCTTAGCGTTTTCAAATAATCACATACTGCCAAAATGACTAAAGTAGCAATATTAATCTCAGTATAGTAATGTCATATATCATATTATAAACGATTCTCAAAAATACAGGACACTAAGAAAGGACAGCATATATTCAAATTTAAATAAACATACACAAATAAATCAAAATGTATCGGATGTACGATTAGCAAACTATCGTTTAAAAACGTATGACTAATGTTTCCATAAGTTATACACATCAAGGATTCTGAGTGACACTTTTTCAAGGTTCCATTTATTCATAAAGATTTGTTTCTTTATAAACCTATTGTAATGGTTTTTCATTCAGGAGAAAATCAATATTCACCGGTCAACCAGGTAGTATGAATTTAAAATATCCGAATATCATTTATAAGTAAAATTCACAACACACATCTATTCTATTTGAAACACTTCAGCTGGATATACATGTTAATGACTTTAGGCTATATCGAGGCAATCCGCACAAAATGTACATACGCCAATATGAAACTGACAAATTGAAGTCCTAAATAACAATGAGAAGATACAAGTAAAACAACACCAAGTGAATTTATTAATGATTATGTTCAAACCTGAACCCAGTATTTATCCTTTTGGATCTTAATACCATGTGTGTTCTAAATTCTTATTTCTTTAAATTACTATACTTGCGGTGTGTGCAGCTTATGTAGACAAACATAATTAGTATGTAGCAGGAATTGGAAGTGGGATATTCACAGCGATATGATTAAAAAATAAAGCAAAGAGGCAGATGGAGTATGTAGAGAAAGGAAGATATGAAAATGATGTATCTAATGTATGATTTTCATATTTATAAAGCCACTGTTGAAACATATAATATCAACACATTTGAAGTTTAACAAATACGTCAAAATTCATATTTATTTTAAATAAAGTATCCTATGTAGTATGAAACTAACTGGTTTGAACTACATTGATACAATTTGTTTATCATGAAATGGTTTCATTGTCTGTGTGGATACTTCAAGTTTACTGTCAAACAATATCAAGAATGATCTTTATTATATATTTTTTTCTTGTTTACTTTTTGTTTTATGATCAGGCTTAACACATGTTATCGATTTGTCAATGAAACTTTAGTTAAAGTTTTTTTAAAAATCGTGTTTCCATTTTATGTTTACAAAAATTAAACACAAATTACAATAATTTGCATATGTTCTCAATCACTCAGTGATGATATTCATAATGAACGCTATTTCTCTAATTGTAAAATAAAGAAGCTGGTAATTTGAGGATATTTCTGTTGAGGAGTTATTTTACAATGTAAATTCATTTCTCTCTGTGTTAACAATACTTAAAACACTAGGTTAGTGAGCTCATTAATGTAAATATTTTTAGTGCTTAATTTTACAATATACAGTATGATCCTCAAATAATTTACAAACTCTTAGATGATTGTTTTGAAGTGCCTCAAAAGAACTTTCGTGTCAGTGACCCTACTATCAACGTTTCCTACTTGACCTATATTTACTAAAACAACTAAAGAATAAGCCTTCAGATTGAAACTGTACAGTCTGCATTTGTAAATTTGTTTTTTTCTTATCGAATAAGGTGTATTTGTTGTTCAATAGGATTTAGGAAAACTTTCCCGCATTGCTAAAATAGGTAGTAGTAGATGCATAAATCATTCGACTACAGAACATACTGCAACTACAGAGTATTCGTTCAAAACAAAATTATTGCTCGAAATTCTCCACAAACTGGACAAAAATCTAGCGCAATATTATGTTCTCGTTTAACTCCTACACACATGAGACCTATACGTCTACGAAAGGGTCTTTACCTTATTATTTGAGCATGGGATCAACACAGTTATCTTTACGAATTGTATAGGAAGGGGTTTTGTGGATATTATAGCAATTTAATAGTTGAGATCATGAGTCAATTGAAGCTAGATTCGATCACAAGATCTATCAGACTCGCACGTGAACACTTAACCTCTGGACCACTGATCTGGCCGGCATCCAACAGTGTTAATGTCTAACTTCAACTAATCCACGAAATTGAGCGACACATCCATCACTGTCCTCAGTGAGTTACTATCTCACACCAGACCCGGTTGAATTCCACTGACCACTGCTTCTCACTAAAACTCCAGGAAATATCTCTTGAAGCCAGTCACTTTTGAGCATATGTTGATTAATATCAGAAGGGGATTTTGTAGATATTATATTAATTTCAATAATTGGAAACATGAGTCAATTGAAGTTAGACCACTACGGCCATCCAGTGCTTCCAGGTTTTCCATGATGGTCTCGCTTCAATTGACTCGTGATTTCAACTATTGAAGATATATGTCATATGTTATATGCATATATACATGACAAGCCGTATTATTTAAGATTTTAACCTCAATACAATCTTACCGATATCGTGCTTGGTTAAGGATATACTTCTGGTTTAGCTGTGATAGGATTTATTTATTTTTTAACCAGTAACGACACCTATAAAACAATCAGTAATCTTTTGAAATATTCACTGTTAGTCACCATTTCTCTCTGTTTATAATTGATATATTATAGCTTTATGCAAAGTTTATTCTTAGCATTCTTAATAGGGTCATTTTATAGTTTCAAAGTATTTACAGCCTCAAAAATAACATCATTCACAAATGATTTGACATGATCGCATGTCATTCTAAGGTTCTTAGTGTTGCTCAGTAATGAGCTCAAACGAATTTCAATATTGAAATTTTGAGATATTGGGCTTGTTTGAATAATTCTTACTTCATAAAGTTGAAAAACATTCCAAGTATTCTATTAATCTAATTATGAAACATGAATTAGACCATTCTTGGTATTTAGAATCACCGAATCAATTAATTCGGTTACTCTACAAAATAATGTAAGTAAATATACCAACATTGAAACATAATAATTTGATCTAATCAGTAATAAAAGCTTCTGTTAAGTTTGATGAGAAAAAATTATAATTACTTTGTATAACTCTATTTAAGTGAAGTATACCATTATTAGAGCTGTTTTGAGTTAAATACTAAAATGTATACCGAATGTTAGATAGGGAATATTTTTTGAATAGGAATGCATTTAGAGTTATCATTATCGATCTACCGGTCTATAAAATCTTTTTCTCTTGTAATTACGCCATAGAACAGTTGTAGAAGTTTGTATTGATTAATTGTTTGCTTTAAATTAACATAAAGATAATTAGGTTAGTAGAAGTATTTACGTAAGCTAGATTTTATTTGTCTATCTAGCCAGCTCTATCTACTTATTATAATAAGTTTGAGACTGACCAATTTTATTTCTTCCATATATTAAGTAATATTTAAGATAAAATTTAACGTTAACATATAACCGTGTTGAAATCTGTCGTAGATCTCTGTCATTCGTGAGACATTTTATACACTGAGTAATAATTAGTGTAAATAAACTACAACTATTTTTTATATTCTGCAAGGCATCCCGTGTTAGAATGCACATTATTATCCCTGTAGTTACCAATTACGATATCTGAAAATAATCACTAATCATTCATTCAACATATTTGGGTCCTGGGTTCGAATCTCGCGGGAGGTGAAATCGTGGATGCGCACTGCTGAGTCGTCACACTATAGGACTAAATGGCCGTCCAGTGCTTCCAGGTTTTCCATAGTGATCTAGCTTCAATTGACTTATGATTTTAGGTATTGAAATTTCTAAAAATCTCCACAAAACCCTTTCAGATATCTGTTTCGTACTTACAAATTTAATACTGACTTCATAAAACACAAGTATGTGTTAGTGATAACAATTTAGGCAGTACGGATGAATGAAAGTAATACTAGTGACCGTAAAGATAGATTTGTTTTTCAAGAAACCGTTAATCGGAACAAAATAAACCAGCTTATGTGATTATCAAGGCGTAATACGCTTTAAAATCTATCCTCTTGCCTCTATATAATAATTGTAGAAATATTTTAGTCCCATTGGTTAACCTTTAAAAAAACAGTAATAAACTCAAAAATTGCATTTTACTCTGTTTTTGCTAATTTCCTTAAAGTAATATGACTATTTGATTGAATTAAAACTGGGTGTTAGGTTATCAAATTGTTTACATATTTGTAAAACTAGAAGTAATATCTGTTTACTGCTTAAAATTTTGACCATTAAAACAGTGACTGAAAGAAGTTTTTACGTTCAAATTAGTTATGACAATGAAGTATGTAACACTATTACTAACCACGATGAAAAACACTATTCTTCAAATTCACTCGGTGTTGTTTTACTTATATCATCCCAGTATTATTTAGGACTGCAATCGATCAGTTTCTTGTTGGCATATGTGCATCCTATGCGGATTGCCTCGATATAGCCTTAATTCACAAGCATTCTATGCAAAGATGGATAGTGGCTAGCAAAGGAATCCAGTTTGCCGCGCGTTTCGTCCTATTCCTGATTCGTCAACTAGATGTACCCGCACCTCAGAGTTGATGTTCCTTTTGTGGCTCGAACTCAATACCATTCGCTTTAGACGCCATCGTATTATCCAGTATGCATATATGCCAATAAGATTTTTCAAGGATGCATATCATTATTATATAATAATAATTATTAATATCCATCTTCATTATTAAGAAATTAAAGACAAGTGATTTCTGGAAATAAAATGACCAAATAACCAATAGGAAGATGGTCTTTATCAACTTTTTATTAACTTACAATTGGTCTATTCAATGTCATTGTGTACCGATATTTTAATGATACATTGTAAATTAGCTTTTAATATGGCATTTATCAATGTGATTATTATTATTTTATATTTGGGAATCAATTTTATCAAGTTTTAATTTTATTCTTATACTACTGAATATACTACTAATGTATGGAATTAAATACATTTGAATAGAAGGAAATAAATGAATTCATATTTGATCAACCGAATGAAATTATGGAAACACAGAAAATATTATGAATCTACCTATCTATCTATGTGTATTGTGTGAATGAGAGGCTCTTATAAAAACGTTATTTTACAACATACATTGAGAAATGAATCAAAGAGACTTGATCAAGTTTGAAAGTAGTGCTACATTTTCATTCACAATCATTTTGTAGTCACTGTATGAATTTTGAGCTACCTCTTATTTTTATGTAGTTCACAGTTAATGGATATCATGAAAGTAAGTATGTTGTTAATATTTGAAATTTCCATGAAAATAAATTACACTAATAAGATACTTTACTGTACTACTACTACTACTACTACTACTACTACTACTACTACTACTACTACTACTACTACTACTACTACTACTACTACTACTACTACTACTGATAATAATAATAATAATAATAATAATAATGGAAAAAAATTTTAGTTCACGTACATACTTCCGATAGTTTGGTATCTATGATATGGATGATTTATCTACAAATCCTCATTGGCACAAATCCAACTGGAATAAAGTTTTAATAGAACACGAAGACTCTCTAGTACTTTTGGTGAAACATTTTCCTTTTTAAACATGATTAAGTTCCACTGATTATGCTTTCGTTCATGATCCATCTTAGTGGTTGCTGATAATATTTGCCAAAACAGTAACATAAGTTCGAGAGTTGAATCATTTAATTAAGCAAATTATAGAATAGAATTGTTTCCTACTTTGATTTACCTCTGGTTTATATATGTATATCTACATATACGTGAATTAAACATTAATGTCAGCGTGTCAAATAGATGTAATTTCTTCAGTTAGCTCTTTTTATATCCTTACTGACTTATTGGCTTCTTCACTATTTTTAATTAGAGAGTAAGCAACGTAGATTATACAAGTTCACGTAGTTCAGTTCGATGACTTTACCTACAGCTCTGTTCTCGTTCACAATGAGTCATACTTGACAAATAGCTAATTGATGAGTCCATCATATTTTTTAACGTTAGTAAAGTAATAAAACCATGTTTATGGATTCTCAAATCATCATGTTTTATTGGCTAGATATAAATATCTATGTGGAAAGATTTAACTCATTCGAATTATGAAAACAGAATTTAACAATTACTCGTAATATACAACTGATATCTACAGTCTGAATATATTAAAGACTGGTTTTAAGTTAAGCTACTGATATGAAACTAAATTTCCAAAAAGGAGTAACATTTCAAAATAAACATTGTCTATGAATTCATCAAAGCACGAATTTCAGCAGAGTTATTTGAAAACTATTCTCATATTGAATTATGTATTTGACAAAAAATGATTTGAATATTAGGTATGATCCTTTTTATTTTATATTTTAGATCATTTTTTCTTGATGTGATCATGTTATCTAAATGATATAAATTGAAAAACAGATATAATGTTTCTTTTATCAATAAGATGAGACTGTTCATAAAGTTGAAATGAATTCAATTCAGTTTCATGTCTTTATTGATTTATCAGATCAAAAAAAAGGATGTTGGATCTAATTATTTTACAACTAAAGACTAATTATTCCTTCAAAAATAACAGTCAAATATGATATTATGCGAATATTCGTCAATGTGGGAAAGACTAATTTAACAGAAATTGGACACCGAATATAGAGTAGTCATTAAAAAAAGTATACGGTTCCATGTTAGGACCATGTTGGAACATTTTTGAAGTATTTAGGTTTCTTCAAAATTAATCTTGTGTCCTGTTTCCAACGCATATGACACTATCCAAGACTTATTCACAAGTTTGTTCTTATGAAATTGTTGTTTTTTTACATTTAATTATCTACGTTAAATATCATTGTAATGCAGCTTATGTGGGAGAAATTTCCAGACAATTGAATGTAAGGTTGAAGAAACAAAGACACTGAAAAATGTCCCGAAATCCTCGGTTGATCTCAAGAAACTTGAGAATACGTCTTGGATAGCGTCACATGCGTTAGAAACAGGACACAAGATTAATTTTGAAGAAACCAAAATACTTCAAAAAGGCTCCAACACTCATAAAAAACGGTTGACAGCAGAAGCGCTGTATATATGGGCGAACAAGAACAACCTGAACCGAAAGTATGATATTCAACTAGCAACTACTTGGCAAATATGCCTTAACAGGTATTTGGACCCTTTCTCTATCCAACCTGTTTATTTCACATGCATCATTATGTTGACGGAAATTGGTGTGAGCTATTTTTAGCAATAGTTTCATGTAATTGATGATTCTCATTTTTATTTGCACATCAATGATTCAGAAACAATTGTCAACCTACAACTTGCGACTTTATTTATTCCTTCATATTAACACCGAATATCAATCATTACTAACTCAATCATACACCCACACACACACAAAATTTTACAGAATTCGCATTTAACTGACACATGTTATGGTGTTTACTAAAGTCGACATCCAAATATGATTGCATTAGCACGGTATAGACTTGATCTGATTTGATTGTTAACACGCTACATCATCATACTTTGGTGATTTTGATTATCACCCTGAAGAAGCCCAGACAAGTTGGTTGGACGAAACATCGGAATTATTTTAAATTTCATACTTTGAAATTATTTCAAATATAATTTTGCACAAATAATAAACAGATAATTTCCAATAAATATGTGTGGTACCCAAAAGAATTAAATAACATGGAACCGTATACTTTTCTTTAATGACTACTCTATATTCGGTGTCCAATTTCTGTTAAATTAGTCTTTCCCACATTGACGAATATTCGTATAAACTAACTTAGTTTAAAGAAGGAACGAATTGAGCGAAGAAATTTCTTCTCAATTAGTTTTTTATCATGGCTCTACACTAATATATATATATGATTTACAAAAAAGATATAATACTCATCGAATGGATACGTTACGTAATAGTTACATAATGAAATTTATAATAACATTGAGTAGTTGGAAGAAAGAGGAATATTAATAGTCAAAGTGATTAATAATCCTCTTTCTTCCAACTACCCAATGTTAATATAAATGTCGTTATGTAACTATTACGTAACGTATCCATTCGATGAGTATTATATCTTTTTTGTAAATCATATATATATTAGTGTAGAGCCATGATGAAAAACTAATTGAGAAGAAATTTCTTCGCTCAATTCGTTCCTTCTTGAGTTACCAAATGGCAAAATGGGAATTTTCACTATATTGAAACTTAGTTCAACTTACAATATCAGCCATAACAAAACGTATTTCAAAAATTATTTAATATCAGATAAACAACAATTAAAAACCATCAACTGATGGTCAATTGTTTTCACTAACCCACCGACTATTGAACTTTTGATCTTCCGGGTTTCCTGACTAGCACTCAACCATCAGATCACTGAATTAGCAGTGGTTTACATATTAATCTATTCCATGTATTTCGCAATCATATTTTCAAAGTCTTGAAAATCCTTGACATATGTTCACTAGTGAGTCCCACATTAAGAAGAAATAGCTGTTCATTGTTTGATGGTTTTATCGATTGTTAACTTCGATTAGTATATAATATATGTTATTATGTCCCACAATCTCCACAAACTCTGAACAATAAATGTTTATGTTTTTTTATTCGAAAAGACCGGCTACAGATATAATTGGAATTATATAATGATGCAATTCTATTATTTCGATCAGTTGTTTTGCAAAGTTGAGAGGACAAAAGTTATTCATTAGTAGCATAGTCATCATAAATTTTTAGTCGTTTCTTTTTCTCCCATCTTTCACCCCATATTGCAACTTTTAGTAGTTTTTTTATGATTGTTGTTCATGATACCAGCTTATGTACACCCACATAATCTACGTGTTGTTCTGTCACGGATTTTTTATAAGAAATAAAAAATAGAACCCCGAACCATTGGAATAAAACATAAATTTACCAACTTATAGCCTATTTCTTAAAACTCCTGCGAGATATCCAAATCCAAGGGAGTGAGACGGTCACACTGATGTCGATAGATGATCATCGCATTATATTTAAATTGATTTACGTTGAGAGTATGGACCCGCGAATCGTAATACACTGGCCTGAAAACCACTTAGTTAGGTGCTTTGCAAGATCATAACTAACCATTATTGAGAAGTCCCCCACTAGAACTATAACAGGTGAGTGATGCTGACTGGTATTTAATGGTATTCTGACGGAGATCAGTTCATGCTGTTTTCCAATAGAGAGTCAATTTGAAACACGGCTTCCAAGGTGGTAGCCGAATATTTCAAAAAAATTAATAATTTTAACTTTATGCAAATTGTTCCATGATGACTAGTCCATGATACCACTTTGGAATCAAACAATGTTTAGCTTTTCTATTCTCTATGGAAACAAATAGGATTTAATTAATAAAGAGGGCCTACATATCATACAGTTGTGCGTCATAAAACAATAATTAATGTTTTTAAATTTGGTTTTGCAGTCCGAAACTATTTATCTCAAGAAATAAATACATCGCATTAACTATGTCTGGTGCAGTGTGCCAGCCAATCAAGCTTGATGAGGCCTCACTTAGTAGAGCCTGCTTGGTTGTTCTGACACAAAGACTGTCATTTCTAGGCACATAAACTCACCGTATGGATATGTTTTCAAATGAGAACCTTTAGAACCTTCTAGGTATTGATGAGCGTGCACGTCGAACCTTGTTGGGATATTCAGGAAAATATCCCAAAAACTATCCTGTTAAGCCTAATGCTATCCTTGGACATGAAATGATATCATCTTATTGGCCAATATTTATTTAACGTGTCATTTTCCTGTTGGCCAGTATTGTACAATGTCATTTTCTATTTTATGGTACGTTGTGGTCTGCTTGATTAGTATATAAACAGAGTATTTTTGAAATATAATGATTCATATATCCGAGGCTGTGACTTGCGTTCTGGACTCAACTGGCTGGGTTAGACAGGGAAGTGGGACCAATCAGAACCCTAGGCTGTTCTACGTGTTTGCGCGTCTTTGGTCCGATCAATAATTCGCTGTCCTCTAATAAGCAGTATTTTCACGTTATAACAAATTTGAATCAAGTATACATTACCTGCATATCTGTTACATAAGTTTTCGCTTATGCATTCTGTAGCATACACATAGGCATATTCGCCTCATCAGAAGGGTTGATACTCATTGCTCTGTTCAATCATATTTGCTACCTCTTTCTTATATGTTACATGCAATCCACTAGTACATTAGCTTGGGCTCATGAACATCATAGCATAATC